GGTGGGAGTAGATTAAACTGCGAACATTGTTCTTTGCTTGGAGTGAGTGCGAGTCAATTATTCATTTCTTCTCTTTTCTCTGCAAGAAACGGCGAAACGAGTGAAGAGAAAATCCCGAGTTGGAGGTTTTGAGCGAAACTCAAATGTCTCAGACCAAGAAATTGACGCCGAATCTGGATCAGCAGAGCACGAAGGTGCTGAATCTAACGGTGCTCCAGCGAATCGATCCATTCATCGACGAGATTCTCTTCACCGCCGCTCATGTCTCCTTCTACGACTTCAACATCGAAACCAACCAGTGGGTTCGTTCTTCTCTTCTCTTCTATTCTCTTCTTTTTTTTCACTTCTTCACACTTTCTTTTCTCATCTATTTCACTCATTCACCACTGTAGAGTCGCAAGGATGTCGAAGGATCTCTCTTCGTTGTCAAGAGGTGAGTTCATCCACAATCTTCTCTCGCTATTCTTTGTATGCATTGATGCATGCATATCCACCAAAATCGTTCATCATTTTCTTTTTCTGATTCAGGAATTCACAGCCACGGTTTCAGTTTATCGTAATGAATCGACGAAGTACAGGTTCTGTTTTGTTTGAAAACCTTATTATTATTATTGTTGTTGTTGTTATCACTATGACTATTATTTGGGAAAATAGTTTGACTAGAAGAACCAAGAAAGGTTTAGGGGTTAGATTCAAGTGAGCTAATTATTGCTGTAAATAACGGATGCTGTTTTTGGTAATGCGAAATTTATTTTTGCCTCATTTATGAATCTTTGGTATGTATTACCTATTCAACAACTTTCTCTCTTAATTTTGTCCTGGGTCCGGACAGATAACCTTGTGGAGAATCTATTGGATTTTGAGTATGAACTTAAAAGCCCGTACCTATTATATCGGAATGCTGCTCAAGAAGTTAATGGTATATGGTTTTATAATCCAGACGAATGCGAGGAAGTTGCAAATCTTTTTAACAGGTTACTTGAGTGGGTTTTTTTTTTTCTTTAGTTATTTACAGTTACAACTTACAGGGTGCTAATTTCAACCAATTTGGCATAAACTGTGAGGGTCTTTGGGTTGTGTATTTATATTTTTCTGCTTAGCAATGCATGAAATTGGGTGCAGATAATCTTACTTATTTTCCAAATTCAATTTACAGGATACTTAATTTGTACCCAAAGGCACCTCCAACTACCACAACGCCTGCTAACAGAAGGTAAGCATTTTTTTGTAAATTTTACAAAATATGAAGTTGTTTCAATTGCATAGTTATCAACAGGCATGCTTTAACGGTAGAGTGACCAAGCCTCTGGACACTAGGAATTTCAAATTGTGGACCACTTTTACATTTGCAGAAGCCTAGTGTCCCCCAAAAAATGTATTTATATGTAGCACAGATTATTTAGCGAGTTGTCATCCAACTATGTTGAGTTTGGGGTCGATTGCTCTGCACCACTATGTTGTGCTACTTACATGTGTGAAATTCCAAACAGCATCAACTTTAACATATTATTTGTGAAGAAGTTTTTTATTCAAAATGAAAAATTACTTTAATAAAGTACTTCTGCTTGGTTTTTCTTGTCCAACGAATGTGCTTGCTCAAAATTCAAAATGTATTTATTTATTTCCCCCACTTAGTGATCTCTACTGTTGGATTTATGAGTAATAAATGTTGCACGTCTAATGGCTGATGTTTTTATATATGACAGTGAGTTTGAGGAACATCAGCCAGTGTCAGTGATATCAGGAAGCCCTCTAGAATCGTCTTCAGCTGCTGCTTCTGCAATTGATGCTGTTGAAGATGCTGTATTTTCAAACTTTTGCAGCGTATGTGATGTTGTCACATTTCTATTTTCTATGTTTTTTGGTTAATAATTCTGCAATTTCTATTTTTTTAAGTTTCACTTTTTATTATAAGATGATATCTGTGGCTTAAGAATTTTTTTTAATTCAATTGTTGCAGACATTGAAGGCTACTAGAAATTATGCTTCCGTTATCGGAAATGATAGACAGCATTCTACTTCTTCTGCTCCTAGTAGTTTATTTTCTCCTGCACCTACTGTGCAAATACCTGCTTCTCATTCAACTTCATCTATATCAGGCTTACCTGTTGACTCTCTTGAAACAGTCAAGAATGGCAATCAAGCCATTAATCTCGTTAAGCCTTCTACTTTTTTCACATCCACTTCATCATCACTGTTAGTTCCACCTATTTCTTCATCTGTGCTGCCTAGTTCAGTTGGTAATCATTCCCTGAAAATGCCACGACCATATGGCACACCAGTACTTCAACCCTTCCCGCCCCCTATTCCTCCTCTCTCTCTTACCCCCATTTCAAGCTCCAGTCCAAATAGACCTGTAATTGGAAGGGATAGCGTTCGCAGTGCACTTTTATCATTGGTTCAGGTACTTCACAATTTTGCAGCTTTGTTTAGTTCCCTTGTGTTTCTTGACCATTATTAATTTAGTTGTATTTTTAAATTGTTATTAAATTCTTTTATTTTGGGGTGGGTGTGTGCCTTAAAATAAGAGGGAAATAACGACTACTAGTGTCCTCAATATCATTAGGGTGTTTAACAAATGATTATATGAGTTATTCCGCAGTACAGAAAGTCCAGTTTGAGCCATAGTCATTGTTAAAGGGTTTCCAGTTGCTTCAAGAGAGAAGTCTGAATTATTTTATTTTATGATTTCGTCTGGGCACTTCTTAAGAGCCCGAATTTTATTCAGACATAAAAGCAGACCAAACGTATCATAAACCATATTATGTGGAAAATATTGTTGTTAATTTAATGACTATTTAGCTTACTATTAGACTGGAAGTGCTCTAATCCTAATTATTAAGATTTTTGTTTTCATATAACAAAATTCCAGAGAAGCAATTTTTTGAAAAAAATGCGTATAGTTGAAGAAAGGCGATAAGGTTTTAATAAGCCTGATATAGGAACAGACCTCTACTGTTACTAACTAGTATAAACACAAGATTTTTAGTAAGCAATCTTAGATTTTCATGTTTTTATTACTTTTTTCTGTGTATGACTTCAGTATAATTTGAATCTCTAGTCTGCAAAAGAATTGGAGTAACCAAATTGTTTTGACGCTTGTTATATTCTGACTCCTCTTCCTTGTTAACTTTTTATATAGTTTCTCTACTAACGGAATTTTCCTGTGTCAGGATGATCAATTCATTGACATGATGTTCCAGGCATTACTGAAGGTGAGTCCTTCATGAGTAGTCAAACTCTTGAAGGTTGGATGGAAAGTGCATATAAAATTAGTTCTGTATATAGTTACACACCCACACGTCTAACAGGAGGTGTAACTTAGTATATAGAGACATCCGTCCCTCTTTAGCTTTAGCCACAACTTTGCATGATACTTCGGTAATGGCCAATTCCACAATATACTAACAAATCATACGGTGCATTAATACACCATATTATCTTCACCACTGAGTTTATGTGTGTATACGTGGACAAGTTATTAGAGAAAATAATGGTTGAATATAGCATGATTTTAATTGCTATGTTGATCTAAAGATTGTTCCACGTTTACACAATTAATTAATGGTGAAAGTAATGTGCATTCTTACACTGTAACTCTGTAGTGTATTGTAGAAATAGCCGTATGTTTCTGCACAATGATAAGTGTTTCCATGTCAGTATCGCCTTATTACCCTTTGTTGTATGTGCTGTGTTTTTAAATTCAGTCATGGTTCTGTCGGACAAGTCCTCTCTCTATGGACTAATCAAGATATATGTACAATACCATGTTTAGCATGCTGTTACATATAAATAAATAAAAATTTATGTCAATTTAGTCCTTAAATAAATAAAATATATATGTCGTATTTTTATATATAATTTCATTTTTTTAGCTTTTAATGTGTTTAATAAGAAGTCATATATAAAGATACGATTTTGTTAATTTCATTTTTTTATGCAGAAGTCGTGTATTAAGATATGACTCGTGATATTTATTTTATTAATTGAGAGGTAACTGTTTTCGAAAACGTGTTAAGTTAGTATCCTTTTTTTTCAACGACTTTCCTAATTTCAACGTGACACAATAATTATGTTCATGAAAGGAAAAAGAAAAAACCTCATTATTAACAATAATTACACCCATTTTTTGTGCCCTGTAAAGAATTATAAGATAAAATCTCTTCTTCCTTTGTGTTATGGTAATTGCCTTTCTTTCACCGTTAATTTTTGGGTTGAACAATTGAAGATAATTGTACCTCATCAATTCTTAAATGTAACTTTGTTTTTAAATAGAAGCATAAGACAAGTTTCAAATACAGTCATAGGTCACAAAATGAATCAAGGTTACACTTCCAACTAACCCTGACCAACAGTACATAAAACACAAAGAAATAATTTAGTAACAGAAGAGAACTACATTAGGGCAATTCTAAAATTGGTTCAAAACATTTTCAAATGTCATATCTCTTTCCAACACTAAGAAATTTTCACATTGGTATATAAATACAATATCCTAACTCCTAGTCCCACAAGCATGAGAAGAAATACACCATAATTGTAATCCTGAAATGTTACTCATTGTGAGATTTTGATTTCCCTTGCACGATAAGGGTGAATGATAGTGAGACATTACTTTAGCATAGTAACCTAAGAAGGATGAATTCAAAGGATTTTAGCAAAAAATTTGTCTGACATTTGAATATCTGAATTTGAGTCTTCATACATGATAGTATTAAATATTCCATTTGTCAAATATTTTATTGGTGTAAAATATTCCTGGAATTAACCACTAATCACATTTAATAGAATATCTCTTAATTACATATAGAGTTAAATATTTGAGACTGAATCTTTAGTGGGAGCAATTATCCACATATAAAAATATCGAAGATATTGAACGAGGCTAATGCTAGTAAAGCTAGGAGGTGGGCCTGAAGCAGCCTAAGCCCACCAATGAGTTGGGCTTCTGCTGTGTGTTGAGCCCGTTTACTCTGTGAATGTGCCATGCATCAAAAACTCTTCGTTTCCCTTATTCCCTGTCTGCAACATCGAATTGAATTCCATGGCGGCTGTGAGAAAAATAATTCAGGCCAATAAAAATAAAAATTTGTCGCCATCTCTTTTTTCTTTTCGCCGAGGAATTGCTTACAAGCTTTTTGTTGGAGGTATGCACTCTCCTTTTCTTTTCAGCCGAAGAAATCACCGTATGCTTTGTTACTCTTCATGCCAAAATTAAGGAAATTAATTTTTGCTGTTTAATGACCTTTGTTTCTATCGATGAATTCCACAGAATAGTTTCGTATTGCTTTTCATTTTCTTCTTGATGTTAACGATAAGCTTCTTGACACTCTCAGCAATAGCAATTAGTTAGAATGTGTTCTCGAACTGAGCATGCCCTAAGGTTAGGTGTTGTGTCTTGCATATCCTTTATGCAAATTAATGGGAAAAATCAGATTTTCCCAATGATTTTATAAGTTATTAATCAACCTGTGAAAAGTATGCATGTGGCTTCTGTTTCAAATTCAGTTTATTATTTTGAATGCTTGAAGTGATTCTGTTTCAAAAAAAAGTTGTTAAAAAAACATTTTACTTATTTATATCCATAGAGCTTGGTTCCTCGGTGTTTTTTCAGGACTGTCCTTCTGCACCACACAGAAAGCACTGTCAGAGGCATTTTCCAACTACGGGCAAGTTCTTGAAGGTATAAACGATGAAATGCACCAACAATGATCCATTCTGTGTCATCTCACTGTATGATTATTCTGGCCTCTGACAATGTTACGGAGTTTCTTATTTTGCAGCCAAAGTTGTAACAGATAGGGTGTCAGACAGATCTAAGGGATTTGGGTTTGTCACCTATGCTTCAGCAGACGAGGCTGAGAATGCCATAGCAGAGATGAAAGGAAAGGTAATGATCAAATTTGGGAGTCTTGAGTTCTTTGTTGACTTGGAACTTAGAAGTAAGGATTGACTGAAACTTTTTTGCAGACATTAAATGGACGTGTTATCTTTGTTGATTATGCAAAACCCAATACCAACAGTAAGGGTGCGATGCCAATTGCTAGAGGACCTCCTGAACCAACACCAGAAACTTGATATTATGTATTCTTGATCGAGAGAGCTGTTGAAAAATGGTATCAATCTTTCTTTCCTCAGCTCTTGCAGCAGTGTATATAGAGCCTTTCTTTTACTACAAAGCACTGTTCAGCACAAGTGATAGGATTCTTCAATTATAATAGTACAGTCTTTGAGGATTTTATATGGTTATGAGCAGACAATAACGTAAACAGTCTCGGTGATTNCTATATTGCTTGTGTGAGAAAAACTATGGTCAAAACTAGAATCAATTGTCTCTGTTGGGATTATACTAATTTAATGAACTAGTAGTCACTATGTTAATAGCACGTTTTTAACGGTAAAATCTCCCGTTCAACTTTTTAAGCTGTTCAACTATATATATGTATATATAGAGAGATATTTATTGTGGTTCTAATAATAAGCTATATAATTTTTCCATCAAACATAATATTATTAAGGATAATTTTAAATGATTCTAATCCTATTATAAGAAATAAATTTTAATTTAGTCTTATGAAATATATTAGAGATATAATATTTGTATCAACTCATATATTATTAATTTATTTTATCTCTAATACGAAATATGAAATCATAAAAATATATTTTTTTACAAAAGTATTTCATAAAATAAATTTTTATAAAGTTTTTCATTTTAAATTGTGTTTGTTTTCGTTAATGTTACTGTTCATGTAGATATGTGAAGATGAATGTGAGAGAATTTGAGTTGTTCGTTTATAATTATTGGAGAGTGAGTGAGAGCACAAATTTGAGATATGAGTGAGATTTTATAATCTTTCGAAATTGTTTAGATTTACATGAGTTGATGAGGAAATTCCGAAATAACCTTGCTACCAATACCATTTCCACGCATATTCATTTCCATAAATAGTGTATTCGATTACATTATCCTTCATCAAGTTCCATCATCAATGTATTTGATTCCAACATGAGTGTAGTGGATTTCATCCCTTATATTCACAAAATATTATATTTTAAAAATAATTATTTCATTTTACTTCGATGCAATTTATATTTTCATTTTAAAAATTAATTATTATTATTTTTCTCTTTATATTAAATTTTACAATTATATTCATTATTAACAATTATCATTTTATATTACTTTCATTACTAAATATAATTTGATAATCTTCAATTTTTACCCATTAAATTATCTTTTATTTGTCACATTAATTAAATTTTACACTAATTTTTATAAATTTTACTTTTAAATCTACTTTCACTCATCTCCAAATTTCTTAAAAAAAAAATAACAATCAACTTATTTTTAAATCTCTTCAAATTCATTTAATTTTTTATCAAATTTATCCTCCAAAATAAACATAGCCTTGGTAAGGATACTGAAAAAGTAGTCAAGGTTAAAATAATTAAGGTTAATAATATATGCCGTGAGCATTAGCGTGTAAGGATGGGAATATAAAAGTACTGTTATCTGGAATAAATAAATGATGTCACTGCATTTATTATGATGTGTAAGTAGTAAGTAATGAATGATTATCTTTAAATCTTGAACCAAAAAGTCAAAATACATTAGGGAGTTTGAAAGCCTTAAAATATTGTAACAACATGCTCGCTACATCTAACTCATAACAAACTATGAAAACCATACTGTCCATGGACACAATCTTCGTTAATAAAAGAATATTTTTTACCAAGAAATTTGAATTTAAACTACTGAATGAGGTTCATGCTTCATTATGATAGTAAATACTAAGTAATAAATAATTCTCCAAGTGTGAATTGAAAAAGTCAAAGATTGTAATCAGGTGCCACCAAGATCTTATTTGTATGACAATCTAGCAAACTCATATTGTCCGAGGAACACAATTTCGTCACATGTACTAAACAATCTTAAATAAGACATAAACACATATCAATCTGGTCCACGAAACATGGTACAACCTTCCTAACGATAATTTATGTGTATACAATCTTCACATATAAATCTTCATTCCAAGTCCCATGTTCTTATAACTAATTTTTTTAAAGATGATTTCTTGTAATCTAATTATAATTTATTCTTCTTTTATTTATAGATGCATTATCATCCGGTTCCCCATCAGTGAGTGAGATTTACACTGTAATGTTATTATAATTTATTTTCTAAATCTTTAAATATACCATGATTTTAATACTTTTATTTTAAAGGGATATATATTTATGTGTTTATAGTATTATTTATCAACTAAAATTATTATGTATGTAAAAAAAAGGTTATTTAACACAAATAACTATTATTTAATAACTTTTTATAAAAGTAAAATGATTTCTAATAAAAATGAAATTTTGTATTTATAAAAGATAATGTGAAATGAATGTAAAAAATATTTTAGTGTCATGTAAATTTGTCAAAGTCTCAGATAGAAATATTAACCTTAAACCGAGAACTATAATAGATTGGTTTTGGATAATATTTTTTTCAAATTGTTTAATTAGTAACATATGATACTTCAATAACCTTTTGAGGGTATAATAACTTCTCCCACTCAAGCTTACTGGTTGATGAGACTTAAATATAGAAAATGAAATAATCTTGAATGTATAAGTAAATTCATAAGAGCACACAACCTCTAGTACTCAAACGAAAAAGATGACGAGACTAAAACTTTAGAAGGAAAAATCTAATGTATGATTTAGAGGTTTTTGGTTAGAAGGCATATGCTACTACATTAATCCATTATAGGCATACAATTGATTCAAGAGTTAGAAAACGGGTGTTTCTTGGTTTCAAACCAATACAAAAGATTATCTATTGTATGATTTACGAATCAAGAAAATCTTTATTTTTATATAAATTTAATCTTTTATGAATATGTTTTTTCTTAGTTTTCAAACAACTACAGTTATTATATTCGTACACATTTGTTTAGTCCTTCTTACTTTCTTTGTAAGAAAAGAACATTTGATATTTTTTATTTTAAGCAATTTTTTCTTTTAGTATATACTTTATCAAATATGCTCAAATTTCCACTGATTAATATTCTTGTTTTTTTTTTCAAATTTCCCAATTTATTGTAATGTGACAAGCAATCTAAGCANCCTGAAAAGTTGTATTTTTTTTTTAAATTGAATGAGTTTACTCACTTAATCCATTATCATGTAGCTGTTAAACTTCCTAATTAGTGAATGGAATTATGTTGGTATATCAAATAGCCAACTTATAATTGATTTGGCTGGATAATTCGATTTGATAGCTCTGTATGTTTAGTAGAAGACTATTTTTTTATCTTTCAACAAATACTACTACTATTAAATATTTAAACTATAATCTTTTTAGTAGGTTTTGTTTTAAATCTATTTAATTAAGGTAATTGAGCATGAATTTGATTTTTATTAGTTATAACATATATTTATTGAAAAGAAAAGTAAGGCTAATATGTAATTAACTCTGAAAAATTAATAAGGATATGGGTCCTGATGATCGGTGTCACTGGTTAAAAATAATTAATAAACATTTAACTTTATAAAGGTTCATATTTAATTATAACATTAAATTAATTTTAATCTTAATAATCATTAATTTAATTTTACTTTACTTATAGAACAAAAATATTCACATGTATTATAACTGATAATTTATTTTATGCAAAAAATAAATAAAAGAGAATAAAATAATATTAATATTGTTGTACAATTTCGCTTATCTTTTAATAGTTTGTCTTTCATTTTAGTATTACTAAAAATTAAAATACAATTAAACATAAAAAAAGCTTAAATTAACTGAGATAACAATAAACAAAGATTCAAAATATAAATAATCTAACATAACAACTATCAAGTAATAAAATGTTAAATATCTAAAATTTTACTAAAAAACAATTAAAATATATTTTGATACTTTATTGAATCAAGAATAATTAATTATACCTTAAATAATAATTAAAAAATAATTAATTGTTTGAGATTTCAACATAAATATGATGAAATAAATTAACATTAATTATATCTTAAATAATGTCCTTATTAGTATTTTTCTAAGGATATTAAATTTATAACAAAAGGAAAGAAAAGGGTGTAAAAATCTCTCTTAAAGTTAATGACATATGAACATTCATTTTTTTTTATAATAAACATACGCACTAATTATTAAGGTCAAACCTTTAATTTTTTTTTAATCACACGTGTCAACTAAAAATCAAACACTTCCTCAATTTCTTCAAGCATTAACTATGAATTTCAAATAAAACCAATAGAAATAAAGTTTTTGAATCAAATTTATTCTATTATACTATAAACAAAATATATCAATATCTGTTGTATTGAACTAACTATTTAACTATATTTTTAAATACAGGTGTTATTATATGAACTTTTGTAATGATATCTAATAACATTATTGGAAAAAATGTTAAACAGTTAAAAATTTATTTTAGATTAAAGAAAAAACTATTATTGTTTTGAAAGGAATATAGTACTATAGAATGTCGAGTTACAATTGACAGAGGCTTTTTATAGATAGAATAATATAAAAATAAGTATAATTACCTTTAATTTTTAATGCAAATAAGATCAGAACTATAACAATGATAATAACGATGATAAGATATAATATAGATAATGTATCTTCATTAAAATGATAAATTTATAGAACACGCAACACTGCTTCAAACGTTTTAAGGAATTTTTTTCCTCCAAAAACCAAGCGATTTAGGAATCAGAGGTGAAATCGAGACGTTGAATTGAAATTGGAAGGGGATTTGTTTGGAAAATAAAAAGATTGGGAATTAGGGTTTAGTTCATGATGAGATGTGGAAGGGATTTTTGGAGATTAAGGTAGAACGTCACCATCCAAATTCCAATCCACGAAAAGCCACTCCCATTTTTCTCACTCACCATCTTTTTTTCATCTTCTTCTTGAGTTCATTTCTTTGTTTGGGGAAATCAAGAGAGCGAGAGAAGCATGAGCGAGTGGGTGAAGATGAAGGAGTGCGCGAGGGAGATCACAGTTGGGATGGCGGAGAAGACAGTGGAGTTCGGAAAATGTTGCAGAGACATGGTCAAGCAGAGTTTGGTCAATGCAGATTCATTTATTGTAAAAAGCTTAGGGAGAGGTTCCGGTATTGGAAGAAGTGGAGCACGGCTGACGACGGTGAGGCCTCTTGGTTTTAAAGTATAAGAGTCAAAAAAACGAAGAAACTTTTTTATTGAGCATACACAATTAATTTTGAGAAATATCTCA